AATAATAATAATAATAATAATAATTACCATCATTATTTGATGTTAGTAATTTTGCAATAACCCACAATTGTTGACTATATGTAGATAACAGAGGTGTTTTCATAATAAAAGGACCAGTAGCAATTTCACTGCTATTCACATGAGCTCTTTGTTCACTCGTAAATGTAATAGGAGGACCTACATCAATATACTATAATAAGTAAAACAATAATAGTGATAAAAAAATACTTTTATAAATTATATATACTTGCCTGCAAGTCCAATAAATACAACCAATCCAAAACATGCAAAGAAAGCAACAAATATCATAACAAATTCTCTCTTATGCATAGAATATAGTCGCATTTGAACTGATCTAAGGAATAAGATCATTATTGAATTATATATAAACACATACATATAATATCTCACAAATGAGAATACATACCTTTCACATCGATCATGATGATAGGCAGGTGCAATGTATTTATTAAATTCGCTAAAAAGATCACTGAATTGTGAAAGTATATTTCTAACTCGAAAATTCCATCCTGCAGAAGGAAGATGATACGAGTATCCTAATCCAGGACCATCCATTTTTATATTAAACCTACCATGTTATGTATATCTTTTACTGTTTTTAAGGATATACTATTACTTTTATAATTGATAAATACAGGATGTAATTCACGCTTTTGTAATGTTTAACAATACCTTTTGTAAGGCAACTAGAATGATTTCAATTTCTTTGCATTGATTTGATTATTTTTTGATAAATCAAATCACGTGTTCAATTTTGGAAATATAGTTATACTTGAATAATTTAATAAACTTATTTATATAATTAAAGTTTATATTAAAAAAATATATATATACATGCTTACATCAGCAAGAACATGATTACCTTTTTATATAGTAATGACACTTAGATTTTTTGAGAGTTTCAACGTATTTATACTAATCAGCTTATTGCACCAATTTTTAACAATTTTTAAAAAGAATATATGTTGTTAGGCATTTGTTAATTTAACAATTAGATTTAAAAGATTTAATACCATGAAAATGGAAAACAAATTCGTAACGACGCAAGAAACAAAAACGGCAGACATGATGTATATATACTATTGATTTTTACGACCGCCATGGAATAATGCAGAATTGCTAATTTATATTTATTTGAACGAATGCTCTGTACAAAATGATTTAAACAATACAATGTAACTTATTCAAAATTACATATTTACTTTACGTGAAACTGATGATTGTTTTCAAATATTCGTAAGAAAGGTGAATTAATAATTTGTTATCTTTATATTATATAGCTAATTATACTCGAAAATTGAAAACAAAAATTTACGGACATTTATTAGTATGTTGCTAAATACCAATACTAACAATATTGTCTTTTTAAAAATAATATATTTATCTATTTTATGTAACATTAAAATATTATTGATAAAATATTTTTCAATGCACAGAAGCTCTCTCTCTCTCTCTCTCTCTCTCTCTCTCTCTCTCTCCCCCTCTCTCTCTCTGTATATACATAATATATATTTCAGAAACATGCTCTATATGTAGTTACATATTTTTATTAATGATACATGATTAAAAATACGTATGTGAATGAAGGCTATTTGTACATATAATATAAAATATAAATACAAGTACAAGAATAAACACTAATCATATTTTAAAATAGTACTGTATAATGCTCTTAATCCCAATATTTTATTTTTCCATCCCAACCAGCTGTAGCAAGTCTCGAAGGTTCATGAGGATGCCACAACACATCAATACATACACCATCATGTGCTTTCCATTTTTTGTATAATTTTGTCGTTTTCCAATCCCAAATATAACATTTTCCATCCGCATCTCCCGAAACAAGATAGCTTGGAAAAACCAGAACAAAGAATGAGGATTTTATTGTATTATAAATTATTTTATAAAAGTATATAAAAATTCTTTTACCTCATGTCAGGAGAAAAATCCAAACCACATGCATAACCAGCAACCATATGTCCTGTAAATGTTTTCTTACGATTCATTTTAAATCTGTTTAATGCAGAAAATATGACGATTTTATTGTCCATACTTTGGCATGCAAGCCATTTCTGATTGGGAGACGGTGTAACTGCAGGCATAGAATGCATTGAAGGATCAGCTATGTATTTCATATCAACTGGTATATCCCATTCCCAAACTCTCAGACTTTTATCATCCGAAGTCGTTACAAATCTCCGATTTTCATCTACGAATGTTATCGTGTTCACAGCTCCCAAATGTCTATCATATTCTTGTGTTACTTCACCAGAACGAATATCCCACTGTAACAGATTTATCATTTATTATGCATCCAAATTGAAATTTACAAAACTCTTCAAATAACAAAGTATTATAACGTACACAAATAATTTTCTTGTCACTGGTGCCTGCTACAAAAAGATGTTGCTTATCTGAATCAGGATTGAATTTGACGCAATATGGAATTTTTCTGCTCGTAAATCGACTTATGCAAGCACCTGTTTCTGTGTCCCATAATTTTACATAACGGTCATATCCAGCAGACAAAAATCTTTTCCCATCATTATCAAAACTTATGTCTCTTACAGCTTGTCGATGACCATAGTATGTTCGAATACATCTTCGGTCTTTATAAACTTCCCACAACTATACTTAATATCATATAAAAAAAAATTAAATCTTAGTACCAGTTTTCTATATAATTTTATACAAAAAGTTACAATATATGTACCTTTACTCTACAATCCATACTACAAGAAAGTAACAAATGTGCAGTACGTGGAAACCATCTTATCTGTGAAATACCCTTAGTATGTCCTTCCCAAGTATGGATTTGTGCTTTTGGTAAGAAACATCTATCAGGTGGTGACTCTGATCTTAAATTTACTCCAACATCTTGAGGTGCATGTAAAAATGATCTACCTTGATAATCAACACTATCTTTAACTGAAAGATATATTATATTTACACACTGTTTTCTATTATTTAAATAATTAAATTTTTTAAAAGTTATTATGATTGTACTATGTAATACTGTTTTTTCTTCCAGTGGTTTTTCTTCTGTTGGTTTTCCTCTTCTATTCCTTTTTGCTAATATTTCTTCTAATTCTGCAGCTTCCTCTTCAGTTGGTTTAATAACTCGTTTTTCATCTACATATCCACCCCAAGGACCCAAAAATCCTTCAATATCCGTAGGATCATCGTTTTTGTGACGTTTTCTTTTATCAGAAATCCTTAATGTTGTACTTTCAAATACAGTTTTACCACCAGATTCTTCTGCTACATCTTTTGCTCCAATAATTGTTCTACCCTCCTCTGCACTTCCATCTACTGTTGGATCTAATGCGTATCCTATAAAACATAATATTAATATAAATTTGTAATCATATCATTGGTTTCTTTTATGATTTATTATGTATATTACTACACTTTATTTTACATATCTTATACCATAACTAGCAAATGTTCTTCTTTGATTTTCAAATTGAAACTCGCTTATATGAGCTTTCTCAACATATCCAGAAAGTATATTTTTTACAGCACGTTGTTGTTGTGTTTTAAATGGATTTTCTGGACCAATATCTGGAGCAAATAATTCTTCATATTTAGGATTGTGCATTATTTCTTTTATAGTCGAGTCTACATGGTTCATACATAATTCAGTTCCCTATAATATAATAATTACATCAAATATTAATCATTGTATTGTTTGAGTATTACTTAAAAATTGTTTGCAATTTTTCATTATCCCAAATGAATGAATGTTATATAAAACCAATTTGCAATTTATTTCAATTGATTACAAAAATTTTATTAACGATAACTACCGTTGGTATTACTTCTGGTGCAGAACAAACTTGCATATTTAGAGATGGGATCAAATTTTCTGTAAAAGGAGAGTTAGCAATAGAAACGTTCGTAGAATCGAAAATACAATTAACCTCACTCTTTTTCTTTTCATTCTCATTTTCGGATTCGCTGTTATCATCACTACTGCCATAATCCTTTAAAGCAAGCATATTATATCAATAAGCGATAATATTACACTAATTCACTAAATCAAATGTTCATCTTTAAATATCTATGTGTAATATCATTCATTTACGTCAACATATATCTTTGTAATAGAAAGATATATAACAAGAATCCAGTTTCTTCTTAAACTAACTAGTATGATACCCGACAGATGGCGAAATTGTGGGAGTTTCCTGGTGCTGATAGCGTAATTAATTACAACTAAAACTTAATACTATGGGAGGTAATTACATTACTCTGTAACTAATAGAGTCAATTAAAAATATTAAAACTATACAATAGATTATTAAAAGAAAAGAAATTCTGTGCTATTCATATATTAAAAGGTTGTAAATGTAATATATACATATAAATGGAATTATATTAAGGGTTATCCAATAATATTTTTTCAATATTCTAGGTAAATGGATGGAAAATGATTGATATAAGCTATTAACTTGTTAAAAAGTTCTTATGAATGTTAAAACATATCTAACAACATATATTAAAATGAGCAGCACTGGTAATACTTCGTGTTTTATTCCGGATTTTAAGTCATCGTTGTTCAATGAAGATAATACACTAATGCATAATATCTCAGGAATGAACGTGCCTGAAAAAATATTATTTGTAATTGATACAGCAAGAGAAAAGAATTGTACTCCATTCAAACTTTCTACAGGGGCTAGCTATATGCCATTGTTTATGATAAAACGTACTATAGAAAATTTTGTTCACATTAAATCTCTTATTCAACATAATCACGAATATGCATTAATGGTTTTGAACTCTCATAATTCTCGGTGGATTTGTGATTTTACCAATAATACCAATACTATTATTAATCACCTGAATTTTATTAATGAAGATTTATTAAATGAAGATCAAAAGTCATATGACCTTGAACAGTTGTTTGATAAAGTACAACAAAAATTACCTCTACCAACAAAAAAGCATGATACTGTTGTTCCAACTTTTGTTATTAGAGTAATTTTGGTGTATTCACGTTCCATTAGTATTCCAAAATTTCATATTAGTAATAAATCTATAGAGTCTCTTAGAAAAAATCCATATTTTTTTATAGATGTACTGTATGTACATGAACCACCTTGCTCTGAAAATTTATGTGAAGAAATTTATTCTGAAATAGCAGCATTGGATACAACAAATTTTTCATACATATTAGAAGTGGGAAGGAATGCAGCAAAATTGCATGATAGTATGGCTAAATTACTAGCGCATCCTTTACAAAGACCATCTCAAAAAGATGTATGTTATTCAATTTGTTCTTCTGGTTCTCAAGAAATATGTAATAATATTTAAAAACTCTTGTATTAATACCTTTGTTGTTTGAAAATAGTGAAAACGAATATCAATGCTTTTATTATTGTGTGTATCCATTATAATTAACAGGTAATTTTTTCATAATTTACATTATGATTTTTAAAAAATGACTTAAATGTGTATAGTGACTTGTCAGAGGTATAAATTTAATATCTGTATATAATAAGTGTCATATAACATTTATAACTTGTTATTAATTACTATCAAATCTGTGTGTTATTACTTTAATAGATTTGTCATTTGTTTTGAATTTTCTACTTACTCTATATTTATGATTGTATTGCATTTTCCTGAAGAATGCTATAAGTACATTATATTCTTTTATTTTATGTATGTATTGATATATTGAATTAATACTGATTGAATATAGCGATATTACAGTTTAGTTTAGTAATTTATTATATTATAATTAAAATATTACCTTTTTATTATAATACGTGCATCATTAGTATGTTATGCTGTGTTTTTAAATTAAGATATCAAAATGTATTAAAATATGTTCATTTTGATTTCAATAAATCATTTGCAGTAATGTACGTGTATTATTTCTCTGTAGTCTTTATAGAATTATTTTAACGTTTTTACAGTATGCAGTGAAAG